TCAATTGTCATGCTCCCCTGATACTTTTTCAAAAAATTTGAATTTTCACATTTCAGCGAATACTTCCTCCATTTTCATGCTCCCCTGATACTTTTTTGAAAAATTTGAATTTTCACATTTCAGCGAATACCTCCTCCATTTTCATGCTCTTAGTGCATTTTCTCAGTGCATCCAAGGGTTGTATAAATAAATAAAATAGTTTTCGGGGGCATCACATTATTTATTAATTTCAGTATTCTTATGATAATTCAAATGAATGAAAAAACTGGTGAACATTGATATCGTATCATTATTGTCAACGAATATAAAGTTGCAAGTGTTGTCGGTTGTTTAAGTGACTTTAAAAATATTCTAATCATCGAAATGAACAGTGAAAGAAAAATTATCTCTAGACTTTAGCTTGGTGCTCTGATGGTCTCATATTAGACTCTGAAATGATATTGTTTGCAACTATATTTTTTCTATGTTTCATCAGTAACAATATGAGCCCTTAGATCCGATAAATTTGAGAAAAAATTCTTCCTCATGTTTTATTAGTTTTTGTTTTTGGGCTGACAACACTACACTAGCCAAAATGATAGTACGTATTGACCATGAATCATCTCAATATTTTTTTGTAACGAAACAAAAAAAAATATTTTTTTTTATTTTTAAATGTTTCTCGTTTACTGATCCTTGGTCTGCATGAACTTGATGAGATCAATGACACGGCTCGAGTAGCCGAACTCATTGTCGTACCATGAGACGAGTTTAACGAATTGGTCACTCAATGGAATTCCAGCTTGAGCATCAAAGATACTGGAGTGAGTATCCCCGATAAAATCAGAGGAGACAACGTCCTCCTCGGTATATCCGAGAATGCCCTTCAGCGGTCCTTCAGCTGCTTCCTTGACTTTGGCCTTGATAGCATCATAGGTAGCTGGCTTGCCAAGACGACAGGTAAGATCGACCACGGAGACATTAGCAACTGGCACACGGAATGCCATACCAGTAAGTTTTCCATTTAATGATGGAATAACTTTGCCAACAGCCTTAGCAGCACCCGTTGCAGCTGGAATGATGTTTTGGGCTGCGCCACGTCCATCACGCCACAACTGGAGGGATAAATAATATTACGATTTTTTTTTAAACTGTCTAAAAAACGGAAAAATAATTTTGGCTAAAACGGGCCAAAAACATTCTTAATTATAACATTTACCTTGCCCGATGGCCCGTCAACGGTTTTCTGGGTTGCAGTTGTGGCATGAACAGTTGTCATCAGACCCTCAACAATTTCAAAGTTATCGTGAATGACCTTGGCCAATGGGGCTAGGCAGTTAGTCGTGCAGGAAGCATTGGAGACAACTTTGAGGCTTGGATCGTAGGCGTCAAGATTTACACCACAAACAAACATTGGAGCGTCTGCTGATGGGGCTGAGATGATGACCTTCTTGGCTCCGCCCTCCAGGTGAGCCTAGAAAAATCAATCCGAATCCTCGTTTAGTCTTATAACTTCACTACTCAGTACTTTTGGGGGACACTAATTAAAACGCGATAGGGACTAACTGAAAAAAATTATCCAATAAAAAAGAAAAGAAAATTACGCAACGGAAAATGATGTCACTTCTCGTGATGACATCATATTAAAAAATTGGTGATAACTATTGAGTATAAAAATAATAATAATAGTGTTTTTTTTCAAGCATCAAAGGCTGTCTTTTTAGAAAAATAGTAAAAAAATTTTAGTCAACATACAGAGGCTTTCTCGATAGTGGTAAACACACCGGTGGATTCAACGATATACTCAGCACCAGCCTTGGCCCATGGGATGTCTTTGGGATCTTTGGCGGAGAAGACTTGAATTTTGTTGCCATTCACAACTAAACAACCACCTTCAGCTTTAACTTCACCCTTAAATCTGCCATGGGTGGAGTCAAATTTGACCATGTACACCATGTAATTAAGATCTATGAAGGGATCATTGATAGCCACAACCTGAAAAATTAATTTTCACCACCTTGAATTCTTTTTGTTCTTTTATAGTGAATAATTTCGTAATTTCTAGCTGATTATTCGACGAATTGTTTTTAAGATTTGAATTTTATTTTAATTCAATTACCTGTCCTCCACGTTCGAGGGAAGCCCTCAGGACGAGTCGTCCGATACGTCCAAATCCATTGATTCCAATTTTACTCATGATTGATGATTTTGTTTCCACCAACTGAGGGGATAATTAGTTATCATTTACTAATGAACTAATTATTCTTTGATATAAAAAGGGTATGAGAATAGAAATGACTAGGGAAGATGCATCAAGCGAATTTATAACCTAGGAAGTCCTATCATCCGGCGAAAGTCATCAAGAACAGAATTACTAAACCTGCATTTCTTTGCATTAATCCCAAAACAATTATATGATATTCATTCAAACATCTATGAGCTCCTATCACCAGAAAAATATATAATTCTATATCAATAATAATTTTATTGGAGCTATACAATTATATCATCTGTTATCATCGTTAGTAGAAAATATCATTGTGTATATGAACTTATTTATGATGTCCAAAAAATTAAATTAAGAACTGTAAGTCTGAAAAAGCAGAAAAAAAATGTTCCGACAAGTATTTTTGGGTCGGCCATAGCTACTAGGCATATGGCTGCCATTAAATTCACGTAGATGGGTCGATACTCTGGAGCATGTCACGTTGAAATCTATTCATTATAACACGAGATTCCTCGAAGAGTCCAACATGTAATCCTCATATTACACAATGAGTACATATTTATTAATTGTTCTAATTGATTTTCATTGCCATTCCAGATTATTTAGAGAGCATAAAACGCCGGATATCTGATTGAAAAATTCCAGTCCCGTTAAAATCTACGCTTTTCCCAACAGTTGCATCATCAGAGACACAATTTCACGGTTCATGATGGCACAATGATTCTGAATTAAAAAAACAAATGTCTTTTTTTCATAAGATGTGTACTCATAGAATTTAGTTTCAAAAAGTATTCGTCTTTTTCTTCAATTTATAATGAGAAAATCTTAAGTTTCAGGTGTATCATATACGTGAGGGAGAATTAATTTTTTCATACAATTCTTGATGATGCCGTATTGTAATTAATTTTGACGAGCAAATGAGATGATTGTTAAGATGATGATGAAAATGAAGAAATAATAGAATAAAATATATTGGTTTGAAACTTACGTAAGAATGATTAGCTGTACCGACGTCGAAGTCGACACTTGAACAGCCAGGGGCGTAATGTCAATTGAAGGGCAAAATCGCAAATATAAAAGACCTATGTGTCGACATGTGTAGTACCATCACTGATTATGCGCATTGCATAAGGTCCATTCTCATTGGCTCCGTTGATCGGCTATTTTCGGCCGTGAGAAGCGGTAAATTCAAATCCATGTCGACGAGGTAAACTATAGGATACGTTTATTTTTTCTGTTGAATTGTATTTTTTTTTCACCTGTTCAATGTTTCTTTATTTTTGTTCTCAATTGACAGTACATAGTAGATTTCTTGATGGATGATGTAAGACGAATTAATAATATTAATTTCCTTCTTCAAGTATTTCTCCCGTCACACAACCTTTGCCTTCATCAACTTCGTGCATAAATTTCATCAAGTCGACGATCCTGTGAGCAAATCCGTACTCGTTGTCGTACCTGGAATAAATTTTCTTATTTATACGGTAAATCAGATTTTTCGGATGATACGGATGGAAAATATTTACCAAGCAATGATTTTTATGAAAGTGCTCGTCTGAGGGATACCGGCTTTTGCATCAAAAATACAGGAATATTTCGTGTGATTGAAGTCAGAAGAGACAACGTCATCTTCGGTATAATGTAGAATTCCTTTGAGAGTCGTTTCTGATGCTGCTTTCATCACTTTTTTTACTTCATCGTATGTCACCGGTTGACTTACTCTAGAGAAACATGAATTCCACCATAAATACACGGAGAGAAATATTTAGTAAAAATTACGGAACTTTCAGTTCACTTACCGATTACGGAGTTGATTCGAAAAATTTAAGTGACGGTATCGTTATTTTTCACCGATAATTCAAATAAAAATTACGGAACACCGCGGAAAAATTCCGTGACTTTAGATAAAAATTACGTGACAGTTCCGTAAAATTTCCGACAACTACATTTCGCTCCAGAATTACGGAAAATACACGTAATTTTTATTGAATATTTCTCTCAGTGTAGTAGAATAATTTTTTCAAAGATTGGAATGAGTGAAAGATCGATCAAACAAATCATCCATCAAAAAATTATTTTTAATTCGACATGACTCTATTCGCGTATTCGAGTATTTTTACATATATTTCCAATATACGTCACCTAAGGGTGATGTCACATAGGGATACATTGGGAATCGGCACTCGAAAAGCAATTGCAGATATCTTTTCCTTCAACTCCGGAAGAATCTTTGAGATACATTTGGCAGCTCCTGTGGAGGTGGGAATGATGTTCTGGAGGCAGCCTCTGCCATCTCTCCATAACTAAAAATTGTCTCAAATATTATTAAAAAATCGAGAACATCTCCGCATTTTTCGTAATTTGTCGCATATTTTATCAAAAGTGTCGGAAATTTTCCTGCGTTTTTTCTAAGTTCTACGGATTTGCGAAGAAGTTAATAAAAAATGCCGACAAATTATTACACGATAACATTTCACCGCTCATTACAACTAAACTATAAAAAAATGAAATAACTCAATTGATTACCTTTCCAGTAGGTCCGTCCACAGTTCTTTGTGCGGCAATTGTCGCATGAACACTGGTTATCATTCCTTCAAGAACTTGAAATTTATCATTCATAGTTTTAATCAAAGGCCCAGCGCAATTAGTTGTGCAGGAAGTAGCAGAGACAATTGACCCGTTCTTTGGTGAATAGCAGCAGTGATTCACTCCGAATACGTACATAGGGGCATCAGTTGAGGGGGCGGTAATTATAACCCGTTTCGCCCCCCCGTCCAGATGCAGCTTAACAAGAATTTAATTAAATTATTCCCGATTTCCATTAATTTTTTGCCTGCTAGATGAGAATTAATTTCCATAGTTTGCCCGCAGGCACATAATTATTCATTTAATAAACAAGTAATGTTTAAAAATTACATTTAATATTGATCTCGTAGGATTTTAACATACCGAAGCTCTTTCGAGTGTTGTAAATACTCCAGTGGCTTCGATTACAAAATTAACTCCATGAGCTTCCCATTTTATCTTTGAAGGATCTTTTTCTTGTGATGTCGCAATCGAAACGTCTGAAAACCATAAGGATATGCCACTATTTTTATGTACTGCTCCATGATTTCTCACCTGGCAATCGATAAAAAAATCGTCTGACCAAAAAAGAATAGATTGACATTTTTTTTATCCAAGTGTACGCCAGAGTCAATAATTCGAGAACTATAGATTAAAATAATTATTAAAATTCAGAACAAGCCTACCTGCTATAACAACAGCATTTTTTTCACATTCTACGGTCTGAGGATAAATACCATGTGTTGAGTCGTATTTTAGCAGATATGCCATGTAATCTGTCGGGATAAATGGATCGTTGATGAGTTTCACCTAAAAATAATTAACAAGTATAGAAGAAATTAATTTAATTGGGGGAGAATTTTACATCGAGGTTTGCCTCTAGACAAACACGCAAACACATCCTGCCAATTCTGCCAAAGCCGTTGATTCCCACAGTCAACATTTTTTACCGTCACAATACAGTTTACTCAATAATTTTTGGAAGTGAAAATTTATTACAGGCGAGACATGCTACAACAATTTTGAGGTGATTAATTCTTATCAGCTTACAGTAATTTGGTTAAAATCCTTTTCACATTCAACTGTTCAATTAGTCTCCTAATTCATTATTATCAAATATAATCTTATCGATTGCCATTCGCAGAGTTGAGAAATATATACTTTCCGTATTTTGAATAGGAATGCTGCATTTTTTGAATTCTACAATTTTACTTGAAACAGATGGAAAAAGGTTTCGGCTTGGTAATAAATTTTTTATACAACCCTTAACAATTTTTATATCGATAAGTGTTCATTAAAATCACAAACTAATAATTATTGGAGCGGATATTTATTTCAGTTATTCAACGATAAATATAAGAATGAATAGATTATCGGTAGACATTCCTTTAGAAGCGGAATTTATAATTATTCCTGGAATTTCTCTCCGATTATTGATTGAAATGGATTAAAATTTGGGAAGACTGAGTGCGTGCCCGTGATAATAAATCGCATACCTTTAGTCGTGATTGTAATTTTAAACAGGCTGGTACTTGTATGCCACGATGGTTCGTCCTGTGATGTATATGCGAGGAGAAACGGAGAAAAAAATTAAGAGTTTTATCGCAGCACATAAGTGGGGTGTACGTGCGGCTAATATAAGTGGTGAATAAAAATTAATAAAGGCATAAACTAATGAATTAATTCGTTGTAATCATTTAATTATACTTGTATCGGCTTGGAAATTATTTCTGCATTGAGAGTAATTATAACGATCAGATCCTAATTATCATATTTTCTCGATTTATTCTAGTAAAATTATGGGATAACTTTATTCCTCGTTACTATATATGCGATAATCTTTAAAATCCTAAATCAATTGTAATTAATTTATTCGTTTCCGTTTGTGATTTATCATTTGATGATTTTCATTTTATAATGATTACTTCTGATAGCGATATTGAGGTAATATTGACTGGTTATATTGCTGTCTCAATTTACAGCTGAATTTGAGCTCCTGGAAGGAGCACCTCTGGATCTTCCTCGGGGTGTTGGTTCCATTCGTGAATTTATTGAGAGTATCAAAGAGGTGAAAACAAAGTGGCATAATGGAGTCATGTACTATTACGTCCAGGACGATCCAAAAATATCACACCTAACAGAAATGATATCCAAACAGAAGTCATCATCTCGAAAGAGCGCAAAAGTGAGTGTCTCCGATGTAAAAATTTCGCATTTTACATACGCTTACGTAGAACGTCCCCAACCCCCAGTAAAAAAAAGCATAAATTACTGTAATTATTAGCGAATAAATTATTTAAACTTTGACATGCAGGATTGGCGCGCAATAGCAAGAGAGATTGGAAATGAAAATCGACGAGAAAAAAGACAGAAATTCTACGAGCAAAATAGAGAATTGAATTCATCGAATGAGTCAAGCAAGAAGTCATCGGGTGCCTCGTCGAAGGATTCTCGTGGACGTGTTATTAAACCCATCACTAATCCACCACCAGCGAATCGTCGAGTGGTGCACACTCCCCTAGTCTCCAACGGTCAGCTCATCGGTGATGATTTTTTCCTTCAACTTGCCATTCGAGAGTTGAAGGAGCCAATCTGGAGGGAATGGAGAAATGGTCCTTTGCACGCTGGACTCTGCGTTAGTGGGCAGACTGTCCGAGATTGCATTAAAGCACTACGGGAGGTAAACATTATGTCCAACAAGTTGGTTATCATGCTTGGGGCAGAGGACATATATCAGGGAAGAGAGGCTGCATTTATCCAGGAGGATTATGAGGAACTTCTAGAACTCCTCAGCAATAAGTTCGCATATTCGGTGGGAGGCATTACCCTGTGCACTATTCCTCCTCTCGGTAATATCAGCTGGTTGAATCAACCTACTCAATTTACCGCCCTCAGGGCTATCAACTACTTCATCGTCAACCACGCCTTGGTCAACGGTTATCAGCTTGCTGATTTTTTCAGTCATTTTTCCAATGTACGAGGAACACCGAAATACGATCTCTTCCAAGTGTGAGTACTTCACAACTTTCGGGAATTATTTATTAACAGCAACTCGAGTGTTTTTTTTATTCGTTGGTTTTTTATTCATTTCTAGAGAGATAATTGTCTCAATGATTCTGGTTAATGTGACGATTGCTCTGCAATTGTTGATGTTCTTATCCATTATTTTGACGTATTTTTCAGGGAACCTAGAAGAGTATCGGGAACATCATACTCGTACCTCCTCTTCAGCGAGCAAGGTCGCAGGTTGGCCATGACTTTATTAAGGCATACAATCGACTGCAGCCTTCACGACGACGTCTGATTAAATTTTTTATTGCCGTTTTTGGGTTTTCATTTCGATTAAAAATCGGAATTTTTCGGTGGAAATTACGAAAATCAGTTTTTTTTGTCAAATTTGCTAAATAATATAGTTCGATACCATTGAGACGGAATTTTGACAGGTGTGGAGTTGCCAAACACACGGGGAAAAATTTCCGGTTCATTACATGTGTCAAAGTAATATTTATTGAATGGAATGCAGCAGCATCGTTGAAAAATTTACTATTGAACAAAAATTCTTAAATTTTGTGAAAAAAACGAGATACTTAACATAAAACCGAAACGACGATTGATATTATTCAGTATATGTTTATAAGTATATGTTTAAAAAAAATGTACTGTACGTTGGAGACGATTATGAATATTTCCGGTGCCTAATCTGCGGCAATGACGCAAATTGAATTTTGTACATTTATGAATGCATGTAGATCGTATTATTTGTATATTTATTTAGCCTTCGAATTATCGTAAACACTGTAAATATTAGAAAACTGAGGAACACGTGAGAAATTAACAAATTATAATTTATTGATAAATATCGAAAAATGCATTTTGATATTTTTCTTACCTTCTCTCTTCGACAATAATTTATTTAATAATTTATTTAATCATTTCAGAATAAAAAAAAGGTGATGGACGGAGGATAAATAATGAAAGCACAATTTATTATATCATAATATCTATTATCTCCATTTTCATTCAAGTTATTATTAGTCATTATTATTTACAGTAGATAATGTGAAGCAGTTAACGTACATCTAACATAACGGAGTAAGTTCAAGTGCTTCAACACATTTCTTATATTTTATTGAATACAAATGCCTTAGCTTCAATCAAATAATGTTCGAATACTTGCTTAGTATAACAATTGCTGTATTGTGTAATATTATAATTTTTTAAGTAAGGCGCAATGGCAAACAATGCTCTAGTAAGGCGATTAATTTGTTGAATGAGGATTATGAATTTTAAAATTTTTATGAGTACATGCACTGAAGTTTATTTTATTTTCATGTTAAAACAAAAAATAATTCTCGATTAAAAAAAATGTAATCCACAAAGTACGTGCTAAAAATAGCTTCATAAACTTGAAAAGTTTTATCAAATATTTTAAAACAATCCCCTTGCTTCGCTTTTGAATAAAAAAATTCCTCTGCATGATTACAATCATCTCATCGCGGTGAATCATTCATTTTCACGCCAATTTTGTTCCACTGGCTGGATAAAATAATTAAAAATAACAATCAATTTGTCGTAAGGAATTATTCAAAATATGCATTTCTGGATTAGTTATGGTATTTAGAACTGTTAAACACTTTCTGGTACGATTTTATCGTAATGAAAGGTACTGCTAGAATAAAAGCTGCCGCGTTTTGGCTTGTGCGGAGTTGGAATTTCTTCCTGGAGGGGTTTGTATACAAGACCACAGTTTTTATTATCAATGAGGCCCTGACGAAGAAGAAGCGGTGGTCGGATGACTGGACCACGGCCACGACGGTTAGCAAGGAATCGTGCAAATTGGAGGACTATGAGTAGAATTGCCACAGTGCCAAAACCAAAAATCAACACCGGCCAGAAGACACCATCGTACCACACATGACTCTCCTCAGGTACATACCATTCTCGGTACTCTTCTGTTTTATCGAGTTCATTCCACGCGTCCTCAGTAAGTTCATCAATTTTTTGTCCGTGGTCGAGCTGAAATAATATATGACGCAAAATTAATTAATCAATTATTTCCATTATAAAAATATATTTTTATTATATTAAAAAATGAATTGTTAAAATTTTACTTTTGTGATTAATTTTCTCATATTTCTGTATACTATGAGAATTCTTTGAAAGATAAAAGAAGGTTAAATCCTTACAGTATTAAGTTTAGCGATGTCAGCCTCCAAATCCTGTTTAGAGAGTTCAGAATTCTCTTCATCATCAGTGTCGTCAGAAAATATATTATCAACAGGTTTAAGTACAGATGCTTTCTTTGGAAGCCTAGAAGGTGGTCCATCAAACTCATCGCTGCAGACAGTCTTCGCTAAATCGCTCCATTCCGTAACCCCCTCAGCTTCTGCATACTCCCCATTTTTAATATTGCTAATATATTTCAAAGTTTCCATTGGGGTGACACCGTGACTGCTTAGCCATTGAATTGCTTCAACGAATTCATTGTCACAGACCAATGGGTTCATCGAGGTATCAAGACCAGACAGCTTCGGCATTGCCTTCAACTCTTCTACCGTTATTCTTTCCAGTTGATTCCCACGAACCGATAAAAATCTGAAACATAAATGAATAATTACAGTCAAAATATTATTAAAGATCCAATGGATATTTTAGACCTGAATGGATGCAATGAGACGTCATCGTTCAACCCTACCTAATAGACTTGAGCGGTTGTCTCGCTTCACTCCAAATTCTTCGCAGCTGACACTTACTAACATCCAATCTAGATAATCCTGGTGACTGCAAAAATGGAGTCACCTGGAGAGCGACTAGGGGATTTCCAGCTAAATTCAACTTGTTCAAGGTTGAAGCGCCACGTAACATGCCAGTTGGTACGGTGGTGATATCATTTTCGGAGAGATCCAGTTCCCTTAACGAACTAAGAGGCTCGAATAGCCCGTTGGGAAGTCCGGTGAGCTTATTTTTTGCTAAATTGAGACTCGTTAAGGCTGGCATTGTATTGAAAGTTTCAGGTTTTATGTGCTCCAATCCACAGTTAGCAGCCTCCAATCTGTAGATACTGTAGGTATCATACTTCAAGCCATTCATTTTGAAGACAGGGAGTGACCTGAGACTGGGATTATCACTCATCAGCAGAATCTGGAGTCTAGGATTGTTCTTCAAATGATGTTCGTTGATGGACGTCAATCTATTGTCACTTATGTCTAAATAAGTCAACTGATCCAGATGAGCAAATGCGTGGGAATGAATTTTCTTTATAGCGTTAAAGGAAACCACCAATTTATCAAGCGAGGGAACTCCAGCAAGATCATCCTTACCGATCGTCTGAATTTTATTACTGGAAGCGTGTAAGAACGTTAGTTTTGAAGCATTGATTGTGGCCAAAGTAGTGAAGGCATTCTCTGATATCCGCAGTGTTTGTAAACCCTTGCCCTTGAATATATCCCTCGGCAGATCATCCAACATATTTCCAGATAAATCCAACTCCAACAGAGAGTCCAGGGGCTCGAAGATTTTCTTTTCAATTTTTCCTAAACGATTTTGTTTAAGATTCAAGTAAGTCAGATTGGGCATTTTCTTGAAAGCAGATGGAGGCAGATCAGGCATTGAATTCCAAGAAAAGTCGAGCTCTGTTACACTCTGGGCATCCAAGAAATAATCCTTGGCTACTGTCCAGTTTCTCCAGAAGGGATGTCCCGAAATGGTGAGGAGAGAGAGTTGAGTATTGTTTTGAAAAGTATCAGGATGGATGTCGATGATGCCATTGCGGCTGAGATTAATAGCGAAAAGATAAGGAATTCCATCGAATGCCGTTCTGTCTATGACAGAGATACGAGTATGTACGATTGTGATGGATTCAAGTTGTTGGAGATCTCGAGCGCGCAGTGCGTGGGGGCCTAGCTGGATTTCGCCCGCATTTTCTATTCGCAAGTGGGCGACAGCAAGGCCAAATACCTGTTTGTCCACTAGTTTGCTGCATCTTGCGGTGGTAGATGCAGCGTATTGTGCACTGCATCTACAATAATCAGGGCATGGCATCACAATCTCCTCTTCGTCGTCGGTATCGTCGTCATCCTCATTATACTCATCGTCATCGTCATCATCATCATCATCATCATCATCACTCTCTAAATTATCTTCATCATCTTCATAAGCAACGTCAGTTTCAGCGTCAACTAGTTCTTTCATAGCTTTACCTTCGGCTATAGTTGTTGGCTTTGGCGTTTGGGACTTCGGTGTTGTGATGGGCTGAGGCTTCGCTCGCATTTTTTTCGCAGCAGCCTTTACCGCTTCGGCTAATTCACCCTGAAGTTTTTTATCACTCTCTGCTTCTTCTGTCAATGTATTGATCTCCTGGAGCAAAATTTCTTTTGGGTTACTTATTGGATGAGCGAAAGTCGAGAATTTAGCTTCATGGTGGTTTGCGTCGATCGATTGCTTCTCTGATCCAGCGACTTTCGCAGTTACTTCCGGTAAATTGGTCACCGGTTGCGGGGACCCTGATGGTTTTGGGGGTTCAGGTTTCTCGGTAGTTTGGTCTTCCGTTGCGGGGATTCTCTTCACTTCCGTTGACGTTGGACTCGGTGTCGCTGAAGCGTTAATGAATCCTACTAACAACACTAGTGACAACGGCAGCAGCCAAGCTTGCCTACCGCGTCGCTTCATCGTAATATTGTCTAAAAAAAAACAAAATAAAAAAAAATTGTTTAAATGAAAATTGAAGAGACTGAGAAAAGAGATTCACCATTGAACAGATCTTTTGCGAAAAGTGACAAAAAATTACCAAAAATTTAGAAAAATCGGCGCGCGATTATTTAACCCGATAAGTCATCGAAAAACGATGGAAAATAAAATCGGTATATTGTTGCACGTCAATCTGATTAAAGGTTTCTCAGAAATTCATTTAAAAATACATGAAAAATGGGAAGATATCGGTAATATCTACTTAAACGAAAAATAGGTCATTATTGGGTATGTCACATACACGTCGTACTTATCAGTCACATGATAAATACAATTTTCTCGTCTCATTCCACTTAGAAGAAGTCACCTCAAATAACACTTATAAAACGTGGAAATATTCTTAAATAATTACACTAAATTTAAATAAAATAACTGAACAAAGTCCCAACCAAAAGTTTTTATTATTATTAATGAGTTGATTTTGATAGGGAATTAAGGAGCGAAAAAAATTAACGGATTGGTGAATTGGTGGAGGCTTTCTGGTTGTGCTGTAGAATTTTCGTATTTACGGAATTGAGGATGACCAGAGGAGAGATGAAGCTACTGAAAAAAAGCAGTGTATTATTAGTGTATTATTGATGAACACCTGCTTGTTCTTTGACGTTGGGATTGGAGCACCGGTAAAAGGTAAGACTGAGAGCCGAAAGGCAACACTGCGGTGGGAACAAAGAGTCGAGGGCACTGTCTGGGGTCTTCTTCTTCTCTTCTTCCTTCTGCATTCATTCCCTGACTCTTTACCCCTCACTCGTCGTACCTTTCGGCCACCGTCTACTATTATTCCTGGCATCCACAGCTGGTCAATGCTTTTCGGGTTACGTCGTGATCTCCTCGGGGCCTTTTACCTCTTCACGACCACCTCGGAGAACATTCTATCGGCAGTTTGAGTTTAAGGAAACGTTACAGTTTGACTAGATCTCGAAAGATTGTAACTTGAGGCGGAGGCCCAGAATATTGGTTTTTTTCTTCCTTTGGAGATTTTATTTCAGAATTTATTTGCCACTGAATATTCTGCAAGAACCAAAATCAACAATAGTCCTGGAAGTCCCGAGTTTTTTTAGGTAATTCGGTTGTCGATTTTTTTTATTGATTTGGTCTTATAATTATAATAACTATAGAAATATATAACTTATTGCAAATTACAGGTGGGAATTTTGACACTTGCGGGAGACGATCGGATCTTATGAATGTTAAGGATTAATTATTAAGTTGATCGTAGTAAAATTGTTGCTGGTGGGACGAATGTTGTAGAATAGAGTATCAATTTTTTTTTTACGTTTTATCACGTAATCATTGAGGAAATTGAAAAAAACCTATGGAATAGTAACCGAGTTACAGGAAAATCATGATGAGACATGACAACGTTGGGAGAACGTTGGCACGTTAGTGGGCGGGGCCTTACTTTAGCGGGTCGTTCAAATGTTGAAAGTCCCACTGGAGTTCTTCCAAATCGAAGAATATCAATTCCGGAAAGAAAAATGAACTTTTCCCATTTTCATTCGTGATAAAATATTGAACAATTATAAAATTTATTATTGTTCCACTTATTTACGAAAAAAAGAAATTAAAAAATAATTCATGGAATTCTTTGCGCAATTTTTCTAAATATTCGGCAATTTTTGCCTACGGTTTTTCGTGGTTAATTTCCGGATGCATATTGAATTTTATTTTGAAGAAATTCAACGATCGCCATGGAATTAAATGACAACGTAGTTAAAGGATTACTCACGTTTTCTTTATCCGCGAAAGCTACCAATAATTATAAAAATTGTGACTAAATGCGTTGAATTGGATGAAGAGAGAACTCCCTATGAAAATAGACGCATACGCAACGTGGACTTTCATATCCCCTTTTTATCGCGAAAGATAACATTATCAATAAAGCGTTGAGTGTTATCGTTTAGTTCTACCTGACGCGAATACCTTCGGTTCTCTTTACGTAAGCCAGAAACACAATTTCATTTAATACAGAACGTTTAATTCGAAGCTGCACTCTCCTACAAGGGAACAGACTATTTTCACTGATGCATAATTAGGAATCATCTACCAGCGGACAATTTGCAATACGAAAGATTGACACCAAATGCTTTCCGCGAATTGAAACCCTTTCAGTCCTATTAGACTGTCTTGAATATTTTTAATACTTCATTCAATTCGAGTTTATGTCAATAATTATTGAGAATATTTATCGGTATTCTGCAATCTAATTATTATTCAAATTATCCTTGTTCTGTATCCAATTTGACTTTTGTCTCTTGGAAAGAAATTTCCAAATGGGTAAATATATTTAATGCTGCCCCACCGGAGTAATTAAATATAAATTGCATAATTGGAATTATTGTGGACAAGAAAGATACTCTGAGAAAACCCTACGGTATATTCTGGTCTTTATTTTTTTTTATTCCATTAACATTTTGTTCAAATTTTCTCATGCAAATTTTTAGACCGACGTAATGAGGCTGTAATGCAAATTTAATTCAATAACGTTTGCTTATATAGAATCACCGACATGCAGGTTTAAATACGCAGTTAACAGGTTTAGTGGACAATCGATACATGCGATTTTTTTGCAATCGATTCTATACGTATGCGGTAAAGAAATTAAATCACATAAGCTTGATTATGCATTTTAAGTCGTCCCCTACAATCTTCGAGAATTTCATCAATATAATGAGTGATAAAAATAATATTTGAAGAGCATAAATTGGAAGGAAGACGAGGGAAATTATTTCTACGTTAATATTTGCGAAATTTCCATTCCCTCAAGGAAAAGGAGATTATTATTAATTTTGTGTTACGCACGAGCTGCTAAGTCTTTTTTTTTTGTAAATTTCTGGGAAACCCTGGGTCAGGTTGATGCAAAAAAATATATGGGATTTAGATTTTATCAGTATTCAATGATTCATAAATTTTCAGGTTCGCACAACTATTTTTATAAGTTTACTAACAATGGTGGAAAATTCTTTCACAGTGATGAAACTTCGCGAGACGTTGAGGAATTATAAAATTTGAAAACGATATATTTTGCCACGTCGATTCTATCAATCATTTCTCGGAACTGAAAAAATGAGAAGATATCGGCAATAACTTCTGAAGGTTGTTGTCACGTGGCAGTCTTTGCAAAAAATGTATGCAGTATAAAACGACCCAGATTAAAAGACAATCTTTTGACAGTATATAGTCCCACTTGATTGATTGCATTGTGTACAGACCGCTGAAATATAACTATACATTTTCCACTGCAACTACTCTGAATTACGCCAATTAATGAAATTTCTGCAATCATTAATAATTATCGAGCAGTCAATTAAAAAAATTCTAATCCCTGACGCTCGATTTAAACGCGAAAGTAATAATTTTTCAGGTACTTTTTTGAACTATTCGCCATAAAAATTTGAACAAAAAACCGTTGAGTAAATATTTCACCTAGCAACCAGATTAATAATAGACAATAGTTATATCGCTGGAGGTTATACACCTTTCCTCTTTTTTTCAGTTTGAATTGAAGCGATGTGATTATTCTTTATCTATTCACAGTTGAACGTATTGAATTTTTAATCTCCTTGATTTCTCCTCTTTTAAATAAATAGCCATTGTCATAGCCAGTTTTAGTAGACTCATCCTCTCATTTTGAATAATATTTTGGAGAAACCTTGCAACAAATGGTAAGGTCTCACACCTGCATTACACGTTTCTGGAATGCACTGTTCATCGCACGCGTTCGCAATATTGTACTCGTTAAAATTGCAACGTCGCTTCTGCAATTCAACAGGTTACAGTTTGCATCGGACCACTGATGTTTAAAAATACATCTACACTACGCTCTTGCCTCAACGAATTAATATCAATGATCCAGAGTAATTATTCTCACATTTATTTTCCTTTGGCGGTTCATGCATTGTTTATTGTTCCATGTTTTATTTTTATAACGGATTTAGGCGTTGATCGAAATGAAATTCATCTTGATTTCATGTACCCTTACTCCAGAAAGGAGAATAGTCATAAGTTGGAGTGACCTCGATGTCACATGTGAAAAATGATGGAGGAAAAGTACATAAGTATGTATTGGAACTACATGAACACCTGTTTGCATTGACGCATTGAAGTTTGAATTAGGCATACGATATTAATTTCCTGGTAAACGTAAGATATTCATCGTGATTATGGCTCTATCAAAAATATAAGACTGGTTGATAAGATCTAAATGCAAGAAACGAAAGTGGGCGTAATCGAATCCCCGAAACCAAGGATGAGGTAAAGCTCGAGACTAACAAATAATAAAATAAAAAAAGGCGTAAGTTGGAATCGCGCGGTAGTGGGGACCTTGAATCATCCATTTTTGTCTTTGAATACGACAAAAATAGATCGATAATCATTCAAGAGTATTCCAGTGATCTGTCATTGTAAAATCCCTCTTCCAAAACCGCGGAAAAATAACCTTTCCATACATCAATGAAAGAAAAATCTAAAAACTCGTTAATACTCACTCTAATTCCAAATAAATCAAGTCTGAATTGCCTATATTCTCTTCAATAATCACTGTATTAATATAAAATGAGATTAAACTAGAACAGAACAATGACGATGATGATAAAGCGTATCACTTGTAATCCGTATCGCACAGATTTTCGTACTGTCCACGTACAGCAAGAGAAGTTTCCAACGTATTGGAGTTTCAATGTACCTCTACTTGTTTTCCTTTTTTTTATCCTTTTCTTTCACGTTGACGTACATAGGAATGTTTCGAGTGTTCTTCGGTGACTTCGTGAACGTTCGCTGAACTAAGGTAGGGGCCGATCGGATGACGTGCCGTTGGGCCCCCTTTCGAGGACGAGGAGGAACGCAGAGGGGAAAAAAAAACGATGACGGGACTTAACCGCAGAACCACGAGAAGAGGACGTGCCGTAGCATCTGGATTCTGGGAGAATTTTACAGAATTCATTGACGCAGGTAAATGCTGAGAAGCGAACACATGTCGCCACCTGTTGAGTTTCGATGTTATTTCATCGATCTGAAGATGAATATTCGACTAATGATCTCATTGTTCATATTTTTCTTTTAGGCGGGAATCGGTTTGCATCGCTTCCTCAATTATTTTTTTTCAATAAAAACTTTTATTTTTTCATAAAAGACTTTTTAATTCAGAATAGAAAATAGTAATTCTTTAATTACCGGATTTTTTTGGTTAAGAGGAGAGAATTGAATTTCTGACGTGATACTTGGAAACATTGTTTATTCATGAAGAAAGGTATCACTATCTCAGTAAACAAAAAATCTTTTCTCAGCTACTCGCATCCAGATTGTTCACAAATATATGCTGAAAGTGTGCTTGAAGTCTTGAAGCCTTCTTTTATTGCTTGAGCTTGATAATTGAAGCAGAGAGCTTCATCGTCGAGATAAATTTTACAGGAAATCACTTCCGACGAGAAATATCTTCCATTCATAAATTAAGATGAAGGACTTGACGTCTTTCATTTCCGATTATCAAGTTGACTGTCTTCACTCTTATCCGTTACCTTTTCTAACTCAACATCGTCGTCGAATATTTTGACATCTTTGACGAAATACCAAACTCCGATGTCGAATATCGTTCCAATAGTGACGAAACCTAGAATATAATTTGAATGAATAATAACTGATGATTTAAAAACATTGGCATTGACATTGGCATTTACTCTGAATTATCCTTCCCGATTGATTTCACCTCTTTTTCTCTAATGTACATGCCTAATTTCTAAAAAAGAATTGATAAAAAAAATACTCACTTGCAGCAGTGAAATTCAGTAAATACCGAAGGAGTTCGCCATTGTACAACCAGCAATTTCCCGTCCCGGTGCACGTTTTTCCCCATATCAAGCACGTTTTGTCTGCAACGACACGTTATATTCAGTACGGAGACCACCTCCCCCAAAATAAATCACACCAATCATTCCAAGTAACACAAATGCATTACCTAAAATCAATCCAAACAAAATAGGTGATGGTATAAAAGCAAATAGACTCATGATAGTTAAACCGAATCCCATGGCTACAGCTTTGTCCTTCTCCTCGACGCATCTGACTGAGACTAGAAAATTGGAGGCACGTCCAGTGGCACCACTGAATTTCAGAAGACAAACTACAGCCAGAAACAGATAGAAAGTATTTTGACAATCGACAGGACATGGTCCCGAGGTCGCTGATCCTGTGAAATCGAGGACATTCGATGAGCTGTCAGTTGTGGTCGTCCAATTACTCGTTACGATGTCATCAACTCGATTGCGGTATGAATCAGTATATCTCCATTTGATGCACGCACAGTCCGAGTATTTTTTAGTGCCATCAGGGTTTACCTAGAATCAGTGAACATCATTAATGTGTGCTAAGTTTCCATTTTGAGAAAATACATTTGACAGTCCAAGCGCACTCACTGTCAGTGTTCGACATCCAGCATGACAGGCTGATATATAGGTCCTTACGTCCTCAGAACACACGGGATTATACGTTACGTAATCACAATTGCAATCATCAGTGCACGAGGTATGAGTTCCTGATGTACCCGCCATGATGACTTGATTATCATTGGCAGAGCATCGGAGAAAAGCGTAGGATATCATCCCCATAACTGAAATCGCACCAACGATGATATTCCAAGCTGCTAAGTACCTAGCTTTTGGTTTATACTTGGAGATAACGAGACCAGAAATTAATATTCCAAAAGCCGTGAAGATCAGGCCAACTGTGCCTGTTATCAAGGATGACACTGAAGCTGACTGTCTGTACTGAGTCTCAATATATTTTGGCATGAACACCCAATATGGCATGTAGCCCAAAAAGTAGAAAACTGTTGCGAGGTTGTTGCACATTAATGTATTGTTCGTCAAGAGCCGTCGAAATGTCCGCAGCATGTCCCCCAACGAGGCTGGTACGTCTGATCGATTGTGCTTGATATCCTCAGGATTGTGTTTCTCTTGTAAATCTCGCTGACTTGACGACAGCTTACCACGTTCGGATGCGAGAATCTTTCTTGCTGCTGCTCGAGGAAGAGTTTTTGGGAAAAGCGCGAGAACACTCGCGAAGATAAACAGGAGGACAGCTAGAATTATCCAACCCATCCACCATGCCCCCAACCATCTATCAAGTAATTTCAATTTTTGTATCATTAATATAAATCCGTTAAATATCCTTTAACGCAGTCTCCAGACTCTTTTCGCTATGAAAGCATCGATGGTCTTCTCTTAATCTCTATTTATTCAACTGATTTGAAACGTCAATACACTGAAATTATCGATAAAGACATTGCCCTGTTATGTTAACAAATGAGATTACCTTGGATCTGTTGTACTAATTGTTGGGGTGAGTGTTGGGCTGATGTAGAATTTCAGGGCGAATGATGCCAATCCATAGCCAATTGCTGGGCCTAACATTCTGAGGAAATAGGAGAAGCTAATCAATGCTGGGGTTTTTGATTTTTGAATATTGTCGTCCATATAGGATACACCTAATGTGTAGTAGAGAGATCCACCGATTCCCGCAACGAGTTGAGCTACGAAAAGAATGACCTGCGGAGCGAAATTTCCATTTTCCTCTATGCAGTCCGTGCCACGGTGCTCCTTCGTCAAACATAAAAATTTCTTGTCTTTATCTTGTCCTGGGAGGAGTGCCGTTGAATTTGATGTGCCTGATGGACTCATGCCACCGTGCTCTTTCGTTAATTGTAAAGCATCTTCACCCGGCCCATACAGAAAATGCGGAAGCATTGTTAAACAGCAAAAGAGTACTACCTGAAATATCGATATTAAATTATGAGTTCTTCATAAAGAAAACCAAACTCAAAATCTATTGCTGAATTTATGAATTAATGAAATAAATCAGCATAAACGAGAATAAAATAAATATTGTTCAGCGTTGGTTGTGGGATATAAAATTTATAGAACCCGGATCCCGAAAATTTAAAATAAATTTACTAAATGATAATTATATAATAATAATAATTATATAATAAATGGTTATATAATAATAATAATTTTAATAAATTTAAGTAAATTTAAATTTTAAAATTTCTAATATTCCTGGAATAATGTCCTTTTTCTGGTACTACCTCAATTTCGAGGACCTGCCTTTTTAAATCGCATTGTTTCCGTCAGTATAAATGATTGATAATTTGATTACGAGCATTCTACATTCTCACCCTTCCATCTCAGCACCGCTCATCTCTGATCCGAAGTATACTTTCCAATTATATGCAATAAAAATTCTTCCGATTGAAAATACCTCGACATTGAATTTCATTTTTTGTAATGTTTTCCCATATCTTACATTTGTATCCCCTGACTTTGCCCTCCCTGCCCAGCCTGGCGTTAATATTCCATTCGAAAACTTCACGTGACCATTGAAATTGAAAAACCTTTGAGCAATGTACTATAGGCTCGGCCTCTCAACGTAGATAAAAACTTAAAAGGAAAGCTAGCAGTTAAACCATTAAAAAACACTTACAGTATAAATTCCAAAAGCTATCCATCGTGGTCTGTGCCCCCTTCCAGCATAATACGATAGTACAACAGATACAAGAAGTTGGGAAATGTCATTTCCCACCATAATAATACCTGAATATGAATCACTCTTTAAAAAAATTATTTGAAACACCCTAAACCGATTTATTGTCTCTACTAACCCGTTGTTTTCGAAGGAATTTTGAATCTCTTCTCCAGTGTAGTGATGGTGCCATTAAAATATGCATAACTAGCCGAAAAGATGCAGCCAAGGATCCCATAAAGAAATACATATGCTTTTTTATTGGCAAATCTCTGAAGATTAGGACCCCGAAAGCACCAGATACCGCAGGAAGTGTCATCAGTCAGTGGAAGCTCCTTGAAGAAGTCATCAACATCTTTGACGGATGGTGTGTGCAATGCTGGATATTGGACATCGGTCTTTGACGGCTCCAACAGTGATTTATTCTCTTCACTATTATTCGCAGCGTTTACCTCACTCTTCGTACTATTCATATCTTCAGCAATATGTTCTCCCGCGGATCAACTCGAATACGAATGATTTTTCAAAAAGAAAAGAGGTGAGCTGTATTAGTTTGTCGAATTTCAGGAATCCAACGATCCACTTGCTCATGTTATTTTTTCTCTCATACAGCTAGCTTTCATTGTCTTCAGAATATGATTTGCAATAAACAATTAAAATCCAGCGCAAACACTTGAATTATTCGTGAATGAATTTGATTGCTCGGCAAATTGCAGGTAAACTGTCGATTACTTTTCTCCCTGTTTCAAAGTAAATTACTTTTCTCAGAGCTACTATCTCCACGCATGTAATGACTCGACTATCATGAATACACAACGTATAACGTAAATTCTAATGGAATCCCCACCGTTCTATAAATCTCACGTATGTGGCCCGATGATTCGCCGATTTTGATGCCCATAGGAGGGATAAAGATGATACGTGAGATACCAAATGTTATGAGAACTGATAAACGTATGATCTTTGTGTAATTTTTATTTTTACTTATTTGTTTTTGCATTTGGTTGGAAAAAAGTATGTTTTATTTCTTCGAGTGAGATAAAGACAGATAAACTGATGAAAACCTTTCCTATCTCGGCCAAAATTTATGATAACGTATTGAAGAGTGATGTGAATACTCAGATGACTATCATTTCAATGACTTTTTTTTTTCTTCATTTCAACGATTTCATTTTGCAACCTATTCTATGTGTTGAATCGTAAATTGCTACCTAAACTGCGCGCTGTATACTAGGCCATCCAAGCTGTGGTAGATCAACCGTCTTGAATATGAACTCATATTGTGAGCCCATTATCATTTAATAGAACGAAGGACTCTCCGCCGGATGAATTAGTACGCACTAGTATATCGTCTATGCTGAGTGTAACATAAAATACTACACCTTGAAATGTAAAATGTGACAAATGGAATAGAAACGTCTGCACGCTATAAAAAATAGAAATAAAAATAATTCATCCACCCATAAAAGCTAATTGCCATTGATTTCTGCAAGTAGCGATTGATTATTTTGTTGCAGTACGTTTATTTACTGAGGATCATGCGAATGAGGCAGTCTCATAAATGAGGAGTAAATAAATAAATTATCGAGAGAGCCGATGATTTTTTTTTTTCAGCGCATGAGAACGATAGTCTCATTTTGTTGAAGGAAAGACGTCATGTATTTATTGTTCAAATCGCTTCAATCAATATCAACATTTTTTTTTCACACGTAGAAGGAATAAAACAGAAGTGTATCAATAATTGAGAATAGAGATTAAGCCAACACTAGGCCATGATAATGCTATCTCGAAAAAAGTAAACAATTCAGAGGAAATTATCAAGAGCCCAGAAAAGGTGCCGGAAAATATCATTGAACTGAGAACCTGGGAATGACTCGTGAAACTGATGAATATAAATAATGATGGCAATATGAGACAAAATCCAGGATAGTAGCAGTTGCGAATAAAAATGCCTGATAACGCGATTGTAAATTCATCGTTTGAAATCAGCAATCGCTATTTCACAATCTGTACAGGACTATATCGAGAGAACATTAAGGTAAATCATGTAAGACTAGATGTATCGTAGCGAAATGTGTAATCTCATACATGGCAGGTGACAGAATGTATGCGAAGAATTAGAAACAACCGTTACTCAAGGTGATATAACATTTGTTATTAATTTAGTCTCAACCAGAGTTACCAGACGGCAATTATTTTCCGAAAATAATTCTTGATTTTTTAAGAATGGCATATCAGAGCGCAGTCTCGACGAGATATGAGTGTCACTCGCGATATCGATTTCACTTGATTGATCGTGACTGCATAAAATCGCTAAGTGTTTTTGAGAACGCGATGTGACAGCTGTACAATTTTTCAGTTTTTTAGGCTAAACATATTGTCTCTGCTATCACATTCGTTGATTTTTTAAGTCGATCATCTTTTGAATCTTCAATTCTATCTGTCATGATAATATACTACTAAGAGCAGGGATGAGCAACCTCTGCTCTGAGAGCAAGTCGTGCTCCCGATCTCTATTACTGTATAATAAAGGGTAGACGAGAGCCCTTGTGTCGAGTGATGGGCCTTTATGACCCAGATCGAAAAGGCCCTTCTCGGCTGAAATCAGCGAAGTGGGGGTAACACTTTAGAAAAGGAAAAGAGGAGAAATGTCGCTGAAGAAAAGGAAAGGCGGGGAAATAAGTAAAAAATCGAAAATATGAAATTTTCTTCGAGATAAATGGTACCGATCTTTCATGTTTGCTTATGAGTTTCTATTCATGACGCGCAATTTTGAACCTTCACGTAAATTAACGCACGGGATTTTCGTCGCCTTGGCTCAATCTACCGGTGTAACTCGAAAGATTTGACCTCAAGCTGATTTAATGATCCATGAATTGAAAATATGTTTAAATTAACAACGTGAAATTATCAAACTTCGCAGGTGCCTGTCTGTCACTTTTATATTACTCTGTAAGACTTGTCCTCATGCGGAAATATTCATTAGAAACCCATCTTCAAGTCTAATTGAGTCATTTTATTTCACCACTTTACTTATTCAATTGTTCTAATTTTGACTGTACGAATAAGGCCGGAATAATTCTCATTCGCGGGTCATGGTCATTATTCTGATTTAAAAATGAAACGATCAAGTGTCCGTTTCAGTATCAT